GTGAAGGAGATTTGATGTAAATGAGAACGTAAATGAGGTAAAGAGGAGAATTCCAGAGGCAACAGCTGGAAAAGAAACCATTGCTGGTGATTCTCCAGTTCTAATTAGATAGATACAAATAAAACTAAGTTACGGTAATTCCATCAAGTTGAGCATTGTAAAAGAGGTGATGGTAGAGGGTGTTGTGATCACTGTGTCAAATGCTGAAGACAAGTTGAGGAAGATGTGGAAGGATAGTTGAAAGTCACATTTCCTTCCCCAAATATGAAGTGTACCTCTACCATGTGTACCCAATGATTTTGTATAGGCTTTTGCAATCCTTTGGTTCCGGAGTGTGACTAATTTTAAAATATGCAGCACTTTGCATTTGTCACAAATAATTTTTCCTTCTGATGTGTTTGTGACTGTCTTAGGATTGAGGTAGTCATGAAACACCAGGTACTGGATCCTGAAATGGCCCAGCAAGTTATCTTTGACATTCCAATATTTTGGAATGCATTTTTTTATGTCACAGTCATTAGTAGAGGTTCCCAAAGTATTGAGTCCTAAGAGAAAACATCGTATCTTTTCTAGCTACATTCCTCATTTTGATAGCCAACCTCTGTGACTGCGGCCCTAATCAGATGTGTGAAACTCTGAATATACATAGTGTACAGAGATGAAATAAAACAATTTTATAGAATATTCATACAGGAGAGATCAACAGTTCACAGAAACTAGCGGCAGGAGTAGGCCATTAATAATGGTCATGGCTGATCCTCTATATCAATGCCATATTCTTGCTCTCTCCATATCCCTTGATGCCTTTAAGAACTAAAAATTTATCTATCTCTTACATAAATATGTTTAGTGACTTGATCTCTGCAGCCTCTATGGTAGAAAATTCCACAGATTCACCACCCATTGAGTAGCTTTCCTCATCTCCATCTAAACGGTCTACTCCATATCCTGAGACTGTGTCCCCTAGTTGCCCCACTCAGGGAAAAGTCCACCCTGCATCGAGTGTGTTAGTAGAATTTTATATTTCAATCAGATCTTTTATCCTTCTAAACTGTAGTGAATACAATTCCAGTCGAGTCAATCTCTCCTCAGTCCTCAAAACAGACCTGTTATCCAACATATCAGCCTTGAGAACCTCTGCTGCATTCCTGTATGGTAAGTATATCCTTTCTTAAATAGGGAGACCAAAACTGCATACAATACTCCAGGTATGGTCTCACCAAGACCCTGTATAACTGCAGTAAGACAACCTTACTTCTGAACTCAAATCCTCTTGCAATGAAGGTCAATATACCATTTGCACCTACCTTCATTGCCAAAAAAAGCAAAATACTGCTGAAGCTGGAAATTGAAACAAACATGTTCTGAAGAAGTGATGCGGGACTCAAAACATTAACCTTGTTTCTATCTCCGCAAATACTGCCAGACCTGTTGAATTTCTCCAGTATTCTTTGTGTTTGTTTTACTTCCATTGACTTGTGAACAAGGACACCCAGATTTCTTGTACATCTCCACTTCCCATAATATGACCATATAAGTAATGCTTTTCCTTTCTGTTTTTCCACACTGAAATGTATAACTTTGCATTTAGTTACATTGTACTGCATCTGCCATTTATTTTCCCACTCACTCAACTTATCTAAGTCACCTTGCAGTCTGTTCACAACTCAAAATCCTACCCAGTTTTGTGTTGTCAGCAAATTTGAAATGTTGCATTTGATTCCCCCATCCAGGTCATTTATATAGATCATGAATAGCTGGGACTAAGCACTGATCCTTGCAGTGCCCCACTAGTAACTGCCTGCTACTCAGAAAAAGACACATCTTTTCTTACTGTTTCCTGTCTATCAACCAATTCTCAATCCATGCGATATATTACCCAGTATGCTATGCTGTTCAACTTTGCTTGCTGACATTTTATGAAGGAACTTATCAAAAGCCTTCTAAAAATCCAAATACTCAACTTCTACCAGAAATGCTCATTGGCCATACTATGATTAAGAAGGGTAAAATTGAGAACAAGAGGAACATGAACATACAAACTGATTATAAAAGTTTCTGTAGGTATATAAAGAGAAAAATTTAGTAAAGACAAATGTAGGCCCCTTACTGTCAGCAACAGAGGAAGGTGTAATGGGGAACAAAGAGACAGCAGGTGAATTAACTACATACTTTGTCTTCATCTTTCATCCTTCCCCTGGTGAAGGGACTAGGCTCTGAAAGCTTGTGATTTCAAATAAATCTGTTGGGCTATAACCTGGTGTTTTGTGACTTCTGACTTTGTCCAAAAATATTGGGGAACACAGGGTCTAGTGAGATGGAAGAACTGAAGGAAATCAGCATTATTAGGGAAATGGTATTGGGGAAATTAATGGGATTAAAGCCTGATAAAGCCCCAGACATGTAAGGAAGTGCCCCTGGAAAAAGTGGACACATTGATGGTCATCTTTCAAGATTCTACAGACGCTGGAACATTTTGTATCTATTGGAGGGTAGCTAATGTTCCACAGGGATCAGTGCTGTGTCCACTTTTTTTGGTATTTATATAAATGATGTAGATGAGAATATAGAAAGCATAATTAGTAAGTTTGCAGATGGCACCAAGCTTGGTGGTAAAGTGGACAGTGAAGAAAGTTCAGATTACAAAGAGATCTTGATCAGTTGGGTCAATGGGCTGAAGAGTGGCAGATGGCGTTTAATTGGAATAAATGCGAAGTATTGCATTTTGGTAAAAACAAAGGCAAGACTTATACAATTATAAGTAGGGCCTTGAGTACTGTTGTAGAACAGAGAGACCTAGGGGTTCAGGTACATAATTCTTTGAAGTTTGCATCACATGTAGATAGGGTGCTTAAGAAGGGTGGCTCATTGGTTAACACTGCTGCCTGACAACACCAGGGACCGGGTTCGATTCCACTCTCGGGTGACTGTCTGTTTGGAGTTTGCACATTCTCCCCGTGTCTGCATGGGTTTCCTCCGGGTGCTCCGGTTTCCTCCCACAGTCCAAAGATGTGTAGGCTAGGTGGTTTGGCCATGATAAATTGCCCTTAGTGTTCAGGGATGTGTAGATTAGGTGGGTTATAGGGGGAATGAGTCAGGGTGGGAAGCGCTGAGGGTTGGTGTGGACTTGGTGTGCCAAAGGGCCTGTTCCCACACTGTAGGAATTCTATGATGATGATGATTCTACGG